TAGTTGTTCCTTTGACAAACTGCATAACAGACTTCAGTCAAAGCCATACTTATCTCCTACCCAAAAGGATGTTTCATTTATGAATTTTCCCAAACTATGCCTACAGAGAAGGAAGGTGGAAAATCAAGGGAAGGGCACAAAAACTCTATACAGCTGAAAGATAAGAAATGCTGAAGCTATTTCTTTTATTAACAGCCATAAATCAATACTGAGGTAAACACCATCAACTCCTAATAGAGTCAGTAAGGTAACCATGGGCAACTGCTTCAGGAGCACTTTCAGAGACTTGCAAATTTAAAATCATTATAAGTAAAGCCATCTAAATTTCTTCTTTGTGCTTCATCTTGAATTTCAGAGAACAACTCCCCTTTCTATGCAGCTAGAAAGAAAAAGTAAGCCTAAATAGGCACCTTTTTGAAAGCTGAAAGACCTCATCAATCTGGAGGGTTTTATTCTATTTTAAAATACCATGGGACAGAATTAGCCAGATACCCATCTCCACTGCAAGGTACTCTGATACAAGTATAGTATATGTGCATAATATGCAAGGGTCCTGTGCACATCAAAGCCAGATCATGGAACAATGCCAAAGGCTGTTTTGCCATCAACAGTGAGGAAACTCTGTGTTTGTAACATGTTGCCTCCCAAATGCTAGGTGTACCACACAGATTTCTTTTCAAGTCTTCCCTTCCGAAGGGAGTCACGGCATTAAGATAACCCCTGTGTGAGACCAGATGTGATACCATCATTGATAGTTGCCCAACAAAGATTCTACACACACCGCATATACAGAGAGCTGGAATTCCACCATCTGTTTTAAAAGTCTGTTAGTAGTTTCTCAGCCTACTGCCTGTGCAAAGCTATTACAAAATCCAGTTATACAGAATGCAAGAGAAATCGGAGCCATCAGTAGACTTAACTATAGCCTGCTGCATGAGTCCAATGTTCTTCAGTACCAGATACTCTGATACATTTTCAGTTATACAGCTATCCATTTACTTACCACTTTCTGCGATGGACAATACCATAATAATTTCTGAATTAACTACGCTGCTTTCTTCAGAAGGCCACAGGTCTTCCCTTATTTTAACAACAAAGAAAAGATACATCTCTACGGCCTTAGTTTAAACTGTATGCAAGAGCAAAGCCTTATTTATCTCCAGGATTGACACAGGAGGGTCCATAGTTCAGACTAAAGGACCACAAGTCTAAATGGAAAAAGACTCATTTCAGGCACAGATTGAGCCAACCCAGCCCTGCATTTGACCACCCATGCTTGATACTTGTGTTGCATTAATTTAGGTTTCCTTATAAACACGTGAACTCTCACATGCTGCACTAAGGGAAATTTCATGTTGTTTGTACAGTGTCTTTTGCATAAGACATGAACTGGGTTTTATAACAAATGCTGAAGTAGAAGCCACTTTCACAGCCTTTTCCACACAGCATGCTAGAACTAAAGATTCTAGCATTAAAGAATTAAAAATCTTCCAGAACTTCAGACTCTTAATACCAGACAGCAACAAGCTAAGAAATTACATAAAATCTATCATACAGAGCTTTACATGACTAATAGACCAAATCTAGGGAAGCAACTTCAGATAATGCTTCTTATAATACTGAAGAAATATCAGACTTATGTTTTAATGAAGTCTTTGCTTTCAGGCTTCGAATTTCCCAGAACTCAGGTGCAGCTCTGGCAGCAGTCTTACCCATTATAGAAGAGATGCATCCTACTAAAACTTCATTTGATAAAATCAAGCATATCTATAGGCAAGTTATACAGGCACAGAAACACATAGTCTCATTACTTTACATGGAATCTAGCACTTAGGCCCAAGACTAGTCAGATGGCAAAAAGCCATCCTTGTCAAAAAAGCCGATGTTCAGACTGCTTACAGTAATTGCACCCTTTACTGCTTAAGCCAGCTTCTATAACACACAGCTTCCAAAACAGGGACAGCGGGAGTATTCAATCATCTCCTAAAAGCAGACTGTTGAAGAATACAGATGGTACACAGACTTATTGGTCAGCTCCTTTTTCATGTGTATATGAACCAAAGCCTCAAACCATTACTTACTTATCTCTGTATCGGCTTCTTGCTTATTTGGCAAAGCTGAAAGGCATGCACTTCTTTGTTTCCTTCACGTACGGTTTTTGAAAGATATAAGATTCACTTACATTAAAATATCAGTTCATGAAAAAAAATAACTCACTACACTTCTGCACTGTATAGCTTAACATTCCTTTAGATGTTAGAAAGTAACAGCTTATGGGTTTGACCGAGGGGAAAAAAAAAAAATAATAATCTTTCACTCTTCAATCAGTTTCTTCTAAAAAGTAAGACCAAAATACCTGAAAGACGCAACAGAAGTATTTCAGTCTGTTTTTTCATACTGAAAAAAGGCTCATATGCTCACATGCAACCTCTATGTCTACAAGTTCACTTTGCCCAATCATTGGTTAACTCACTAATCAATTTCAAACACCAAGTTTGATCAAAACATATATATTTCTAACCTCTAAGAACACGTACTGAAGGAGATAACACATGCTTTCTCCTCCCCCTCCAAGGCCACATTAGGAATCAATGTTAACTTCAAGGAAACAAAAAAATCCTCACAATGCATTTGTGGGAGACAGGTAGAAGATGGAGAAAGAGAAGATTTGGAAAGTGTTAAGTGAGAAGCTTGCACCAGAATTCACACTATTAGACTTATTTTCTATTTTTCATTGACAATTCTGTAACAAAATTATTAATTCTTCCACTTTTGGACTAGAAAGCAAACCCTCAACAAGCTCACAAAGGTCCTCTTATTTTCCAACTGCACCACAGATTGTAACAGTCTACTGCATGTCAAATTATAGCAAGTATCAACATTTACTCATATCAAAAGTGTGCTTTTAGCTCTTTACCACCACTCTTGACACCTTCCTACTTCAAGTCTCAAGACTCAGCTGTTTCCCTTATGCTCATCTGGCGAAATCTAAACTGACAACTGTTAATTGTTTTCTTTTTCTGTTTCTGTCTAAAACAGCTTACCAAACCATACTTAATTACTGAAGGAAGTTAGGTGAAAGGTATATAACATAAGTAGTTTTGTACAAGTACTTACTACTGAAAGTGTTACTTCTGATAACAAAACCATGTAATTCCCAAGGTAAGCTTCATATTTCTTATGAATGTTTAGCAAGGGAAAAAAATGTACTACAATCACTACTTTTGGATAAAAACTGTTGCTTCTTTCAGTGATCTTAAAAAAAGCCTCCAAAATGTTTCATAAACACTAACTGAAATATCATTTGCCTAAGCTCTGTTTATATAAAAATTCTCTTATTCTGCTTATACAAGAAAGATCTCACATGTTCGACCCCTGTTTAAGAACTACTTAATAAACAGAATAAGAGATCTCTGCTGAAGGAATACATATTGCTAAGTGACTTATAAATCAATTTTTACAAATAAAATTTATAAAACTATAGTAGGATGGGTTTTTTTCAGCCACCTGAGTGTCAATGTACTGCAAAATGACCAAACAGACTTCTGATAACGTTACAACCTAGAAAGGTGAGGAAGTGAAGAGACTGACAGCTAATTGAAATGTTTCACTTTGGCTTAAGAACAATTAGTTTTGCCAGGTTCTGCATATTCTTAAAAATTAGCCGATTTAATTAAATTAATATGAGTTTGTATGGATACTCGTATTTTAGGTTAAGTACAGCTATTTTGACCGAACATAATGTTTTCTTATTTGACCACAAAAATAAGAGCCTCACATGTCCTTTCTCCCCTTTTTGTAACTGTGTGATCCTTCCTATTACTCATGCTTCCTCTAGCAATTGTTGGACCCTTGTCCAAACCATCTGAATTCTCTGCAGCAGCAGCAATCTGTCCCAGCACATGAAAGCTGATCAGAAGCACAGCTGGAAAAGGAAGGAAGTAGGAGGCAATGGAATCTTCACCTCTTAGTGACAGCACAAGTTATAATAACTCACTTCATCCATGGAGCTATATACCTTCAGGAAAAGGCACAAAGAAACACTACACACTTCAGATAAGTATTGAGGCTAGAGTGTTAATTGGGTTTTCTTGCTCCCAAGTCAGTTTTCTGCCTCCTTAGTGAGCTGAATTGACTCCCGGAGGGGAGCCCATTACAGAAGGATTGGAAAGGCCAAGGTCAAGGGAAAAAAGGACAAGAGCATGATGCCAGAGAGCAAAGAGGTGGCAATGTGATTACTCCCTTCAGCATCAGCAGCCTGTTTGAACAGCTCAGCTTTTCTAGCCTCACCTTCAGAGTACATCTTTCCTGCATCTGGAAGATGCTAAAACTAACAAACAATCCTCAAGTCCAAATAAATAAATAAAAACCAAGCTGTCTACCAGATTTACAAAAGATACTAAAACACTATGCATAATTTTAAAACAAAAAAAAATTCACAGGTTTGGAACAGCTTACAGATATCCTGGCAAGTTTTCTCCACAGATTCCATATCAAGCTTAAGGTTGCTTTATTTTCTCTTACACTGGCATATATGGCACTTTCCTTTGCTTTGTTCAACATTTCTTACAGACACGAGACATAGGGGCAAGAAGATCTCTCTTAGGGGAAGGCAGACTCATCTGTTTCTAGAAAAAAATCCACAAAAAGTTTGCCCCATTCCATCCAGAATCAGTATTTTGAGTTAATATAGATCTTCAAAACCTGATTTTTACAAAGAAGACTTTTGGTTCACTTTCATAACACTTGGCATGCATGCAGTAACTGAAAAGTGACCTATTGATCATGGAACAGATCCTCCTAGAAGCCATGCTGAGGCACATGGAGGACAGGGAGGTGATTTGGGACAGTCAGCATGGCTTTACTAGGGGCAAGTCCTGCCTGACTGACCTAATGGCTTTCTACGATAGAGTAACTGCATCAATAAGTAAGGGAAGAGCAATGGATGTCATCTATCTGGATTTCTGCAAGGCCTTTGACACAGCCTGCCACAACATCCTTCTCTCTAAGTTGGAAAGATACAGATTTGATGTAGTCACATCCAGAGAGTACTGGTCAACGGTTCAACGTCCAGAGAGAAGACCGCGACAAGTGGTGTCCCTCAAGGGTCTGCACTGGGACCAGTGCTGTTTAATATCTTCATTAATGATACTGACAGTGGGACTGAGTGCAGCCTCAGCAAGTTCGCTGATACCAAGCTGGGTGGTGCGGTTAATGTGCCAGAGGGAAGGGATGCCATCCAGAGGGACGTGGACAAGCTGGACAAGTGGGCCCAGGTGAACTTCATGAGGTTCAATGAGGCCAAGTGCAGGGTCCTGCACATGGGTTGAGACAATCCTCATTACCGATACAGGAGAGCAGATGATGTGCCCCTATACACTGTCCTGGTCAGATCTCACCTAGAATACTGCATGCAGCTTTAGAGTCCCCAACACAAAAAGGACACTGAACTGTTGGAGTGGGTCCAGAGGAAGGCCACAAAGATGATCACAAGGCTGGAGCACCTCTGCTATGAAGACAGGCTGAGAGAGTTGGGGTTGTTCAGCCTGGAGAAGAGAAGGCTCTGGGGAGACCTTATCGTGACCTTCCAGTACCTGAAAGGGGCATGTAAGAAAGCTGGGGGATAACTGTTCACAAGGACATGTAGCAATAGGACAAGGGTAATAGTTTTAAACTAGAAAAGGGTAGATTTAAGTTGGATATTAGGAAAAAGTTGATCACCATGGGGATGGCAGATCACTGGAACAGGTTGCCCAGAGAGGTAGTGCAAGCCCCATCCCTGGAGATACTTATCCAAGGTCAGGCTTGATGGGGCTCTGAGCAACCTGGTCTAGTAACATTGCCCCTGCTTACTGCAGGGGGGTTGGACCAGATGATATTTAAAAGGTCCCATCCAACCCAATACATTCTATGATTCTCCTTATTTATATTCAAAAACTACTTCAGCAGACCTTAAAACAGTTCTGAAAGTGACTAACCACTCACTTCTTCAGAGCAACATCTATAGGCTAAAGAAATAAAAAGGGTGAAACATATCTAAATACCAGACACCTATCTGTATTTTTCTGCTTCTTATATCAGCAATCCTGAATGTAGATTATTCTAGCACCCAGGGAAAAAGAAACAACTGCTTTGAATTGTATTTTCAACAGTCACATAGCATTAGAGACTCAGACATTGGACATATGCTGGCACACACCTGAAAAAGACACCACAAAGAAGTCAAAGAAACACTAATGATACTCCAGATTACTTTGATATAATGCTTGATCCAGAGGTCATTCACAAGTAACGCAGAGGTTTCCCCTTTCCATTTTTTCTCCACCTCACAGCATTCTCTCCTGCCTGGTCTGCAAACTGTTACTACTTGGCCCACTAACACAGGAGGTGGCAAAAAAAAAAAAGAGAAAACTAGAAAGAGAAGGTAAGATTATTTAACCTTAACTGAAAAGAAACGCAATTATCCTTCATGCTTCAGTTTGCATATACATAAATCTTAAACATCAGAGTCAAGAATGCAGATTCAGTTTCAAACAACTGAGAAGACTTTCTGGAGTATCCGTCACCACCATGAGCAAGAATAAGCTTCTATTAGAACTTCACCAATTATTTACAAAATAGCTTCTCAGGCATATGAATATAAATCTAATACCAACTAAAAATGTCCATTCTCTGTCAAAAATCATACACATAAAAAAATTACATGCATACCTGTTTTGCAGCAGTGTAGTCACTTTGTTCACACAGCTGACACTTTGGTCTCTCAAAGATTTTCTAATCCTTTCATCCGATTTGGTACAAGAGAGACTTCTTCCAAGTGGTACATCGTTGTTGTTTCTTGCTCTTTCTATTTGTGTCCTTGTCCCATTTGTAGCTTTTGGTGTACCCCCACACATTTTATTTTGCTACAAATCCTCCTGTAAATCTCTCTCAAAGAAACTAAATACCCACTAGAGATACGTGCAGAGGACATGACTTTCAAGTTTCAGAAGCCATTACAATGACTTGCTCTTGCTGCAGATAGTTTTTTCCTACCAAGCCTAGCACAAAGCTGTAGCAGATACAACAGCTAATATTGACTTTGACTATGTTTGTTTCCTGGTATGTGAATAGGTAGCTGGCAATTACGTAGTCACAAGACTGAACCATATGGCCCTTAAAAAAAACAAACAGCATAGTTCCTTTTGCAGTGACTCGCCCGTAGTTGCAAGGTTGTTCTAACACTGGCTACAACACCCTGTTAATGACTCTCATGTGAGCAAGTGTCATCTGACAACCCCTAGCAACCTCATATAGCTTAGGAGCAAGTAAGAGTGTCATCACTGCCATATGGTTATCACTTAGCATGACCAACACCAAGAAATACACTAGATATTCTGCACTGTAATGCTTTTACTTTTAAGGTCAAATAGTATTTAACACTTAGTCAAGAATCTGAAACTACTGTTTTGAAAAGCTTTTTTAAAAAGTAGAAGGGAAAACAACAACCCAAAAAAATCTGTCACAGACATCAAGCTGGTCGATGCAAATCTATAGTCTTGTGCCTATTAAAGCAATTTAATGGCAGTATTGATGACAAATATATCTAGTAAAATACTTATGATCAAGAAAATCTTGAGTTTTTAAACAGACCGAGGGAACCTTACATTTTGTTCAGTCTTGGATAATTCTACTACAGAACAAACTCCTCTTCCTCATCCCTGCTTTAAAAAGTTTTCCATATACGTCTACTCATATGTCTTACATAGCTTTCCTTCCCATCAGTAAAGTTTTAGACATTTTAAGGTAACAGCCATAGCGCTATCTCTCTTCCAGATTAAAAAGAGAAAACAAATTTGCTAATTGTCACCCAGAAATACTGCAGCAGAGTTAGAAAACACAGTAAGATTTCAAAACCCAGTGCTATGTGCTACCTACTAAATAGCACAGCACCCTTCTTAGGATTTTGTAATCTCGGTAAACTCTAACCTCTAAATAAACACTAGACAAAAGTCAAGCAGAAAACTGGAGCAAGGTTAGGTTGAACAACTTGCTCAGTTGCAAAGGGAAGCCTACAGCAATTAAAAAAAAAGAGCTCAGTTTCAATTTCCAGAATAGCGACAAGTACTAGATCACAGTTACTCCTCTTCCCAAACAAGGTAATCAAGTGAAAAGCTTTGGCCTGTTCTCAAGTTATTCAAACAATCTAGGAGAGAGAGACTCCTAGCCCTCACCTCGCTGAAGAGGACTACTTTGAACATCACTGCTCCTAGTCATCTTTGAAATGTGAATAAAACAAGTAACTGATGAACAGGTGCTTACACTTAGACCAAGATCAGCAATTGACAGTATTCACTTCTGTCCTATTTTTTTACCTTAACAAAAACCAAAATAAAATAGGATAATTAGAAAAAAACAAACACCCAAAACCAACAAAACAAATTCATGTCAGAGACTAGAACTAGGAAATCCTGTAAACTCACTAAATAGATGGGCTTCACAACACTAACTCATCTGTAGATGGAGTTATCTATAGAATACTATAAATTCCAAAATACCTGGGGAATTCTCACTGCAAGTCCACAGAACAGTTCCTGAAAGAAATGCAAACCTACACATGGAAAACACCCTGAGTCCAAGGAGTAGATAATACAGAAAATGGAAGAAAGTGTGCTGCTCTCCAGAAGGGAGATACAATCCTCCGGGAAGCAGAGTTTAATAATTCTTTTTCTGGGCTATATGACAGCATGTCACCTGCTCTGTTTGTAGGTCATTTCCTGTCCTTCATCTCTACTGCAAGACAATTGTCTAAATTATTTTAACTCAAGGTAATACTTTAGCAAGAAAATTTGGGGTGGGGGAAAGAGGAAATATATATATGATGGAGTTATCTAATGAAGACTGATTTACTGTACAAGTTACAGCTGTCCACCAAAACTTAGCACCGTTTTCAAATCTAACAGAGTACTTGCAGAGTCCCTAATAAGGGTTTGTTTTGTTGTGTTTTGTGTTTTTTTTCCTCCAAACAGCTTTTAGAAGCAGGCTAGAAAAGCATACGAAAACAAAGTTTGAATCATACTTGCTGTTTCAGTAAGCATTTTGCTTTTGCGAAACAGATTATTAGGAAAAATTTATTCACTGAAAGAGTTATCAGGCATTCGAATGGGCTGCCCAGGGAAGTGGTGGGGTCACCACCCCTGGAAGTATTTAAAAGACGGGTAGATGAGGTGCTTAGGAACATGGTTTAGTAGTGGACAGGTTATGGTCGGACTCAATGATCTTAAGGGTCTTTTCCAACCAAATATTTTAGGAATCTATTATGATCAGTGTGTGCAAACTTACAAGTTAAAACTGTGTAGGGCAAAGGATCCTCAGAAAGATTTCCCATCCAGATGGCAGATGGTGGAACTAATGGATGGGACATCATTAAAGTCAGGGATTCATTTGCTTTAATGTCAGTGTTTAGTGCCACTCAGTACCCTGGGATGCTTCATCTGGCCTCCACCTTCCAGCCCCAAATGGTGTCACGTCTACAGATCCAATGGGACATCCCAAAGACACTGGTGAATCTTTGATATTACCAAAAGCCTATGTACATGAAAGTGGGGGGGCTCGATGCCCACTGCCAAATGAGCTGAATCACTCCAGGCTCTGCTCCTGGTATTGTCTGGATCTGGGCTGGCTGAACTTGATATTAGAAAAAATTTCTTTACTGAAAGAAGGGTAGATCATTTGAACAGGGAAGTGGTGGAGTCACCATACACAGAGGTATTAAAAAAATGTGTAGATGTGGCATTCAGGACATGGTTTAATGGGCATGGTGGTGCTGGGTTGATGGTTGGACTTGATCTTGAGGTCTTTCCCAACCTTAATGATTCTACATACACTTAGCAAAACTGATATATAAAAAATACCTATGACCTAGACATTCAGGATGAGGGCCAAAATACATGTGTACAGGTGAAGAGGAATCTATTTTGGATTACTTAGTGGTGAATTTCCCTCTTTTAGTCTGTTGAAGTACTTACTCTGCATTGCTTCTCCTCTTTTTAAAGCCTTGGACATGGAAGAGCTGTGCTGATGCTACACCACATTCTTTTTCCAGGATGATCTAAACCAGTCCTAATAAGGTAAAGCACTATTGACCTCAGATGAACCACCTTGTTCAAGCACGATACCTAATAACTAGTTCAACACAAGTCTGGCAGGATACTTTGCAGATTAGTCATGCAACAATCGAAGGAACATGTTATTCGCAGCAGTTCCGAGTTCAGATTTTCCTCTATAGAAAGAGTTTGGATGGAGAAAAAGTTCTCGATATCAGATCACTGTATGGAAAGGATACTCTTTTTTTTTTTAAGATAATTGCGTATGTTACTGTATGAAAAGCAAAAGAACACTAGATACACATTTGTTGACTGAAAAGTTGGAATTACACTGACTCCCTGCTTAAGAAAGGAGAATATACTGGATTTTTGCAAGGTTGGAAGCATTTTTCACCATCTTCGTTGCTAGAAAGCATTACCGTCACACACACACAAAAGGTGACCGCAGAAACCACACACACCTGATAGAGGTTAACAAACAGATCTATACAAGCTAAAGCCACTGTAAATTGCACACATCAGCTTTCCACAGACATCAAGAACAGCCTATTAAACCAGTGTTTCAAAACTTGGCCAACTTTCATAAGTTTGGATTCAGTGTTAATTGGCTTATCTACAAGTCAGAAGTTTGAGAGCTAGGTTTCAAACAGTGTCTCAGCGATAATGAAAAAAAAAGTAACCAACCAAACCCAACAAGAACAGTGTGTTTAAAGTAGTGCTCTCAGTTGCCAGCCCCAGAAACTGAATCTTCATTAGCAAAGAGAAGAGCTCAAGCCTTGTAATTGCACAAAAAAAGTATACATTGTGCTTTACCATTAAGAAAAGTGTGTTTATTTTCATTAAACTAGGACTTTAAACAAAGAAAGCTAAAGTATGCAATAGGGTTAGCACTCTAGATCCATCGCCTAGTCTTTTGTCAGTACAGAAAGCCTTGATTAGTCCTAATCAATTTCCCCCTTCCCTCCCACTTTCCCCCCTAACTCCCATAGCATTTAAAAGCTAGGAGAGCTCAGTTGACCTAAATTCAAGTATTTTACAGTTGTTGTTTCATAATAATAAACTTTATTATTTCAGAGAACTGAATGTTTGTTTGATAATTTAACTTCCTTCATGGGGTTATCTATTTAAAGGCACCTTCAGTAACCATTTCCAGCTTTCACTGTAGCCCAACAGGATGAGCCAAACAGCAGCAGCCGGCTGGGAGCAAGCAGCGCTCAGTCCAGCATCTCTGCTGAGTGCTGGGGCAGAGGCCGTCTGTCCGCAGGGCCACCCCACGTCCTCCAGCACGCAGTGCCGGGCCTCAGCTAACACATCATTCCCATGTCACTTGTGCCAGTGGCACCATGTGACTGGGCCAGCATCCAGGAACACAGCTACTAAATACAGACACTGCCAAGGCACGTCTAAGTACTGCCTCTGCCAGAAAATTAGATTAATAGAAATCTATTATCCTACCAGCTTTACTGCTCTGCCTTTCCCCACATTCTCTTGAACTGAAGGAAGAACTATATATCACACATCTGAAGAACTTTGAGGAATAATGCAAAGGCACAATGTGGTATTTATAACACTGTAGCAGCTCTTGTTGCATTTCAATACTGTATGAAAGTACTGACAGACCTCAGACACTAATATCGCCTATGCAAATGAGCAGGCAAGCATAGACATCACCACGACACACACTTTAGGGGCAGTATCCTGAGGCATGGGCTTGGTTGCCTGCTCTTTCCTTTTCCCTTCTGTAAAGCTGGTGATGGTTTGGGTTTGTTGTTTTTTTATTTTTATTTTTATTTAATAAGAAAAAGTCTGTATGCAGCTTTCAAGACTCTGTTCAA